GTTTCATATAATTTTTAAAATTTTGCATCTGTGTTTCTGAGTGAGATTCCTTTGTGATTCTTTTACTAAAGCTGCTGTAGCATGTATAAGGCTTTGTGTGGGCACATGCTTTCCTTTCTCTTGGGTATAAGGCTAGGAATGTAATGCAGAATTATATGAAAGGTGTATTTAACTTTTATCTTTGTCAGGTTTTAAAGTCAAGCCCAATATTATGGGCTTGACCTGTTTTACCTTGTTGCCTCTCTAAGAAAACTTTCTAGATACATTTTTCCTAATTACTCTCCCATGGAATTTTTTTTTTTTTTTTTTTTGGTACCAGAGATCAAACTCACGACCTTATGCTTATAAGGCAGGTGCTTATGCCACTAAGCTAAATCTTCAGCCGTCCTATGGAATTTTTGATACTACATTTTCTTGATATATCTACTTGTGTCCTATAGACTTAAGAGTAATTTTTTAAATTTCTTCAGGAATCAGTATTGACTTGTTGATAAAACATGGTCTAACCTCATAAAATGGATTGACTTGAGGTCTTTTTTTCTGATGTAAATTGGTTATCATCTTTTTTAACATAAGTTAATTTTTAATTATGAAGGTTGATTGATAAAAGGTACATTTATTTCTTGATTTTAGTTAAGGAAAAATTTAACAAATCCATCAGTGTCTGCAAAGAGAACATCAAGAAGCTGAGCAGCAACCCCTGCCAAAAATATCTTAGTATGATTTTTAAAAATTGTAATCTTTTACTTAATAATAGCTAAGTACAAATTAACTTTTACCTGAATTTGTCCAAATATGTTAAAAAAATATCCTATTGTAAAAAAAAAAGGTCAAATTGTGTATAAACACATTACAAAAATTGGAGAGCAAGAAAACAATCACCCAAATAGCTGATTTTCATTGAATGTATTCATATTTAAATAATAAATATGTGTTATAGATTAAGGTGGCTGGGGCAGGCAGGTTGCGAGTTGGAAGCCAAGTGGGCAATTTAGTGAGACCTTGTCTCAAAGCTTGTCTTTAAAAATCTAAGATAAAGAAAGGGCTGGGAATGCAGCTCCGTGGTGGAGCACTCACATAGCACATATGATGCCCTAGGTTTCATTTCCCAATACCACAAAAAATAAAATCACACAGGGAGCTGAGGATAGCTCAGTGGTAGCACAGTGCCTAACACATACAAGACCTTGAATTTGGTCTGTGAGTTCAAGGACAGCCTGGGCTGCAAAGTGAGTTCGAGCCTAGTCTAAACCACATAGCAAGACCCTGACTCAAAAAAGAAATTTTTTTCTCTCTCAGAGATTTTTTTCCTTCCTTCCTTCCTTCCTTCCTTCCTTCCTTCCTTCCTTCCTTCCTTCCTTTCCTTCCTTCCTTCCTTCCTTTCTTTCTTTCTTTCTTTCTTTCTTTCTTTCTTTCTTTCTACCAGGAATTGAACCCAGATCCTTGCACTTGCCAGACAAGTGCTGTACCTCTGAATTACCTCCCAAGCCCTGGAGATTTCTTTAGAATCTGTATCACACTATATCAAATAGTGTGGAATTTATCATCTTGATCTGGGCAAATTTTTTATACATAAGAATATGTATACTGAGAATTTAACCATGAGAAGTAACCAAAGTAAGGAAAATATATACAGTATGTAGATGAAACTGAATGTCATAGCATTATTTTCAACAGTAAAAGTGGATACTGTCCCTGTGTTTAAATGATTGTATAAATGGCATGTCTACTCTGGAACATTTTTTTACACTATGTAACTTTTAAAAATATTATTACAAAGTCTGTATAGCAATGTAGAAGAATATTCATGATGTGCTACTGAATTTTAAAAATCCAGAGAGAAGCTTGTACATAGATTAGAATTATGGCTGTTAAAAAAACTACGTTAATTAAAAATAATGCAAATATAATAATATGTTTAAGTGGTTTTGACATATAGATGATATATATTAGATGGTATATTTGGGTTTTTAATCTCAGAAAAATTGTTTAATTCTTATATTCTGAGGATTAAAAGAATTTAATTGAGACTAAATTCCTCATCTCAAAATTTTTTGAAAATAATTGCAAAAGAGGTGCTCTAAATATGATTTGAAACTTGTGAAGTATGTGCATGCTGTGACATTTAATGAAATACTTAATGAGAAAGCATTTTGCAAACTATAATGTATCATGTAAATAAGGAATATTGTCTCAGATATGTTTTATGTTTAAATTCCTGCTTTTAACAATCACATAAACATATAAAATTATATGTTTACAAGTAAAAACAAAAATCATCAATTTTATTTTGTGTAACTGAATAAAAGAAATATACATGAATGAAATATTTGCTACTTCTTACTGGCTTTTAAACCTTATAGAAATCAGCAAAATGTCATACAAGTACATTTGCTCTTTGTTTTATTAGTAACAGTAGTTTTATTTCAGTCTTATAATGAAGACCTAGATAAAGATAAAGCATTACAAAACTGCCTAGAGAGAGATGCTGCACACATAGCAAACAGCTTGGGGATGGCCCAGGAGGAGGTCCAAAGGCTGACGAATAAACTACAAGTGAAGGAGGAAGAGCTGCGTCAACTGGGTAAGCTGTGTTTTCAGGTGACCGTTTCTGGCCATGTTTTAACTTCACTGATCTTTTCTGAAAATGGAACATTAAAAAAAAAAGTAGAACATAAGTACAGCAAGGAAAAATACTTTACGATGAATACATGAAGGTCTGAAGAACAGCCTCGTTTTATACAAGGTCCAGAAATTTTCACTGAAGCACAAGCTTATAACCTGCTAGAAAGTACATAACTCATAAATGTACACTACTCACCACAAGAAACTCACAGCATCCCAGATTCTCACTTTATTCTTTGTCTCTAGCTCCAACCAAGTCAACCACCATCCAGACTGTGAGCACTGTTTCTGAATTTTGACTATATGGAGTACGCATTTTTTTTTGAGACAGGGTCTAGGCTGTTTTTTGAGACAGTTCAGGCTGACTTTGAATTCACTATGTAACCTAAGCTCACCTCAGACTCATGATAATCCTCCTGCCTCAGCCTCCTGAGTGCGGGGATTACAAATGTGTGGCACTGTGCCCGGCTGAGTGTGCATTCTTTAGATTACTTCTCTTGCTCAATTTTGTGTTTGTGAGATTCATTCATGTTGTTGTATGTAACATTTGTGAACTTGTACAATATAATATTCCATTAATAAACATAATTTGTCTTTCCACTCTACTCTTGATGGACATTTGTGTTGTGTCCTGTTCAGGCCTATCATGAGTCCTCATGCTATGAACATTTTTATACATATCTTTTGATGTACTTATCTACAGATTTCTAACTAAGATAAGAATAGAATTACTGAGCACATGCCTATAATCCCAAGTACTGTACAGGCTGAGGCAGGAGGATCCAAGTTTGAAGTCAGCCTGGGTATTTAATAAAACCCCGTCTCAAAAATAAAAGGGCTAGGGACTGGGTTCACTGGTAGAGTAACCCCAAGATCCATCCCCAGTACCCCACACACAGAATAACCTGATCAAAGATTACAGATGTGTGCTGCTATAGTCTCCCAAGTGCAGCCACACATCACTTACCAATGGGATTTGTCCTGAGAAAGTGTCATCAGGCAGTTTCCTAATCCTAAAACATCACAGTGTGTTTACAAAAACCAGGGTGCCTATGACTTCACTAGGCGATGCGATTTTACAGGACCACCATCCTACATGTGATCTGCTGTTGATTAAAACAGTATTTTGCAGCACATGGCTATAATTGTCCTGATTTTAGCATTCCTCAGCAGTCCACAGAATGTGGGCTTGGTACTCCAGTGTTCACCTCTTATAAGTAGTGGTACTCAGCCTTTCTGAAGGCAAATGCAGTTGGAAACTGAGGAAGGTGGTGTTTGTTTGCCTGGATGTACTGTTTGGTAAAGTTCCTCCCCAGGCTTTTATGTGTTTTTCTACTGTGTTGCATTTTGGTTTTATTCATTTGTAGGCATCTTTATTCTGAACATGAGCCTTTTGTGGCTATGAATGCTTTTTGTTTTATTAGCAGGATTGCTAATATTTGTTTAATTTTGAGCCATCTTTTATACTTTCTGGGTTTTCATGTGTAAAGTCTTGCTTCCTTTCTTTTTTCCTCTCCTCTTTTCTTCTCTCCTCTCCTCTCCTCTCCCCTCTATCTACTCTCTTCTCTTTCCTCCCTCCCTCTCTATTTCCTTTTCTTTCCATTTCTTTTCTCTTTTTCTTTTCTTTCTTTTTCTTTCTTTCTTTCTTTCTTTCTCTCTCTCTTTTCTATCAGTCCTGGTGATAGATGGTGCCTGCAACACAAGTACCCCACCACTGAGCTGTATCTCTGGCTCACATGTGTAAAGCCTTTTCTTCACAAGATTATTGAAAACATTTGTTACTTGTGTGTTTGTTTAGTACTTTTGTGGCTTTTTGCTTGTATTTAAATTTTTGTTTTATCTAGAATTTAGTTTAGTATAAAGCTTGAATTTTTAAATTGTCTCTTTTCTGTATTTCTAACTCAAGGTGAAAGAACTCATTCTTTTTCAAATTCAATATACAGGTTGCTTAACAGTCATAAACATTTTTTAAAAAGCCAGGCACAGAAGTATATCTTTATAATTCCAGGTACTTGGAAGGCTTGAAGGATTGCGGAAGGATTGAAACAAGTTTGAGGCCGGCCTAAGCCAGCCAGTTAGTGAAATGCAGTCTCAAAATAAAAGGGGCTAGAGAGGTAGCCCAATGGTGGAGCCCTTGCCTAGCATGTCTGGGGAAAATGGGTTTGAACTTCATCCCAGTACTTCAAAAAAAAAAAAAATTGAACACAAAGCAGTTATTTGAAACTTGCTTATTAACACTCATCATTTGGCCTTCTCGCCAGTGCTGGATATCGGAACGGGGCATTGTGCCTGTGAGGCAGGTGATCCACCACTGGGCTACACCCCCAGACTGCATTTTCTCCTTACAGAAATATTTTCTCCCTGTCTTCTTTCAGATTCTGCACTTGAGAAAGCTCAACTAGAAATTGGGAGACTGAAAGAAAATCTAAGAAAACTGAAAGAAAATGGTGAGTCATCCCAAAAGATGTAATAATACATTACGTAATATGTATTAACTATTTCTAAATAAAATTAATAATTAAAATAATAAATACTACTACTCGTGTTGCTACTGCTACTATTGTATCACTCCTGCCACCACTTACTGCCTACTAAATGCCCACACTTACCTATATTATCTGTAACAATTCCAAATAGTGATTATTATTCTCATTTGTAGGTAAGGAAACAGAGTCATGGCAAGGTTAAGTGTATCAGCCAAGAGGTACATTAGATATCACAGCTGGTGTCTGAAACCTTCTGTCTAACCAAATCACGCATATTTTACTGGGATCCCAGACCAACACACCTTATAATGCATTTAACATTTCACATGTTTGTTCATGAGGAAGCCAACAGTTTTAGAATCAGTGGTGCATTAGTTAACCTGACGTTAGCCTGGCTATCTAAAATTGACACCAGCTATCAACCTTATAACAAAATCTGACCATTTTAATGGTAACAATTATAAAGTACATTTACTAATTTTATGTAATTCTAAAATTAATTATAGCTTCCTTTTGAAAAGTATGTGAATATGATTATAAAATGAACACTGCTTTCCTAGTAACTGATCACCAAGGAATCAGAAAGCAATAAAGATATAGGAAACCTAAAAATACCACCAACCAGCGTGACCTAGTGGATATTTATAGAAAACTGCATCAGAATATACAATCTTTTCATGTAGCTGTGGAAACTTCACCAAGAGAAACCACATGAGCCAATAAAGAAAATCTCTGTGGGAACTCTGAGAACACACAAATTACGTCTTTCATAATAATGGAATTAAACTAAAAATCAGTTACATAAATTTATTTCAAAAATCCTCAATTATTGAAAAATTAAACAATATACTTAATAGTCCCAGTCCTTAGAGGAAAAAATTGCAAGAGATAATCAGAGCATATTTTTGAAATGAATAAAATGAAAACATAGCATTTTCAAACTTTGTGGCTGGGCTTGGTGGCTCATACCTGGGAGGCTGAGGCAGGAGGATCGTTGCAAGTTCAAGACCAGCCTGGGCTACAAAGTGAGCTCAAGGCCAGCCTGAGCTGCACAGCGAGATCCTGTCTCAACAACAACAAAAAAACTTTGTAAAAACACAGCTAATTCAGTATGGGAGGCTCTTATTGTACTTTATATTTATACTAGAAATTTTAAAAGGATACAAAATAATTTAAATTTAATATCACAAAAACCCAAGAGATCAAAAAATCTAAAACAACCAGACGAAAGGAGATATTAACATAGGTGGTAACTCAAATGAAACTAAAAGTAGGGAACAGAGCAAATCAGTGGAACTAAGCACCAGTTTTTCAGAAAGGTCAGCGCCACTGATAAACTCCTAACTAGGCTGACCATGACCAAAGTACAAATTAACTTTTGTTAAGGTTAATGAAAGAAAACATTTTAAAGGCTAAAGAGATAATAAGGAAATACTATGAATAATTTTATGCCAGTGAGTTTGATAGCCCAAATGACATAGGCATGTTCTTTGCAAAGCAAACTACTAAGTTTCATTCAAGAACAAGTAGCCCTAAGACCATTAAATAAATTGAATTTATAGTTTAAAATATTCCCACAAAGAAAATTCTAGGCTCAAATGGCTCCATTAATTAATTCTAATATATATATAAGGAATAAATAACACTAATTTTACATAAATCCTCACAGAAAATTAAAGGGAGTAATTTCTAACCTTTTAAGTGACCAGCATTACTTTGGTACCAAGCCAGTTAGACATGTCAGTATCCTTAATGAACACAGATGTACTCAGAAAGTTACTGGTAATAAGAAGTAACTTGTTGGGTAGTCAGACAGAATATGCTTAAGAAGAACGGACTGGTTAAATAAGTGACTGCACAAACACCTTGCAGTGAGTACTAAGAATGACAGAGCTAAGGCACTCACATGTGTAGACGTCTGATATATTACCAAGTGAAAAAACCAAGTTGTAAGATAGATTGAGTATGTATGGAACAATGTTGAGTAGGCTTTCCTGTCTGAGATTGTGTACACAGGCTCGCTCTGAGCTGGTGTTTGCAGCAGAATTGTGGTGATGCTAGGGTAATTTCACGTGCCTTGTAAGTAGCTGCTGCCCGGAGTCTATAATTCATTTATGATCAGTAAAGCTATACTTACTCCAATTATTCCATTGTTCCAATGTACTTTTAAAATTTGTGAAGATTAAACATGCTGGTAGTACTCAGTATGCAGAAATGAGCAGCGTCATACACAGTTGTAAGAATGTATCTTTGTACAATTTTTTAAGATTAACTTGGCAGTATAACATATTTAAAGATTTATCAAGGCTGAGAATATAGCTCGGTGGCACAAGCGCCTGCCTGGCAAGTGTGAAGTCATGAGTTTGATCCCTGGTACCTCCCCCCCAATAAATGCATAAATTCCTCTGACCCAGCTATCCTGTTTCTGAACCTTTTGTTTGGTTTTGGGCCCTAAGAATTTTTAATTTTTATTTTTATAAATATGTTTGCAATACATAATGATTACACTTATCATGGGGAGTGGTGTAGGTAGATAATACATCTTAATTCTTTTTGTGTCCCCTTCCCCTCCCTCCCACTCCCATCCTGCATCTCTTACCCCTCTTCCCATTTGCAAAAGATTTGTTTCCCTGTTTCCTATTGTCTACTGGTCCTGAGAAGTGTGGGATTTGGGTTTTATAAATAATATTGTAAGTACTTAAAGACTGATAACAAGGATAATTATTTCAGCATTGTTAACAAAATATTTGCAACAAATCAAAATACTGATAGATAGAGAAAAAGTGACACAAGTATGGCACACCGGGCAGGAGAATCCAGAATGTAATGGGAGAACAGAAAACAAATTTTGCCAGAAAATTTAATGTTACTCACCAGCAAAAAGAAACAAAGTAATGATACAAACTTTGGAGAAACTTCAAGAAGTTTATGTTGAGTGAAAGAAATTAGGTACAAGTCATATATAGATTATGATTCCATCTGTGTGACAGTCAAGAATAAGCAAAACTAATCTGGGGAGACAGAAGTCAAACAGTAGTAGTAATGATAAAGAGGACTAGAAAACAGTGGATGAGACAGGCGGGAAATATCTGACATAATGTAAATGTGCTGCTTGCTTTTTTGGATGAAGTTCATAGATACAAAAAATTGTAAAAGTTAACTGAACTGCACACTACAGATATATGTTATATTTTATGTAAAATATACCATAACTAAAAAAATAGTTCCAGATATGAAGTGGAGAATAAAAGCTTTATAGTGATTGATCTGTGACAATGACAATCACAAGTGGTTAAATTGCAGATAGTATTGGATAGCATTCAGCTTCTTAAAATGTTGCACAGGAAGGTAAAATCCTACTGTTTGTGTGTTGGTGTGTGTGTGTCATGTATATATGTATACTGAGTGTGTATTTTCTAAAGAAGTAGATTGTAAATGATTGCTAGTGTTTTAAATATTCCTCAAATTAAAAAAAAATCTTAGGAGACGAAATAGAGTCAAGCAAGGGAGAAGTAAAATAAAAATAAAGAAAAATTAATACACGATAAAAATGAAATAAGCAATAAAGAAAGAAAGCAAAAGTGACTAAAAAGCAGTGAGAGAAAAAAGAAATATAACAAAAATGGCTAAGAAACAGGAGAGTTACAGGCAGAAAGTTTGTATTACTGAAACCTTGATGAGTGTTCATCTTAACAGGCCTTAACTGAGGTGTTAAGTGAAAGTGGACCCCTATTTTATATGGAGAGAAGAGGCAGAGAGATGGATTTAAAGGATCTTTATTTAACTTGGAAAATCTGACCATTCACTGCCCTGAGCTCACCACTTCCGTCCTCCTTGGAGCCCACCTTGATGAGGGCCGGTGTCTAGAAGTTTCTCAGATGTGTAAAAGATAGGACTGAAGGGAAACTAGATGATTTTCTCAGTCACTTAACTTTTAGAAGGTAAGTTCGTTTGTTTGAAAAGTCCAAGTCCTAGAAGTTTCTATTGCTAGATAAGCTGCACTCAAGAAGTCTAATTCATTAGTCCAGCGTGAGAAATAAAAAACATTCTGTTCTGCCTCAGTAGGTTGGTAGACTGTGCCAAGACTGAACCTGAGAGTCAGTGGCTTTCCTAGGAGAAGCCACATAAGCAGACATGGCAAAACTCAGGAGAGGGCTGGAAATGGCACTCCATAGGTTTTTAAAATGTATGCCTCCCAAACTAAAACTTTAATTCAGACTAGCAAACTGTGTCTTGCCTCTGTTTTAGATAAAATTGACCTACAGAAAGCAAAAGAACATAATCAAAGACTGAATGAGGAAATTTTGGCTTTAAGAAGTCGGGTCCGATCACTTGACTCAGAAAAAAAAATGCTTGGAGAAATGGTAAGTGTATGGGTTAGGGTTCTCCACACAGACACAATCAATGGGAAAGTAAAGAAATGACTAAAGAAATGCATATAATTAGGCATGAAAGTTTATTATATACACTTACAGGACGAGAGATGAGACAGTCCACAATGACCGTCTGCATGCCAGGAATTCGGCTGCTCAGTCCAAGAATCTGGAAGCCTCAGAACAAGAGGGCTTAAGGCTGGAAGGCCAATCTCACACTGAAGTCCTGGAAACTCCCTGGACAGCTGCTGTTATGCATATGTGTTGAAAAACCTTAGAAAAACTGGAGTCTGATGTCCACAGGCAATAGCAGTAGCAAAACACAAACGATTCAAACAAAATAGAACTTAGGATAATAAAAGTGAACTCCTTTCTTCTTCCTGTTCTTTGCATCCGGGCTACAAGCCAGTTGGATGATGTCATCTATAGCAGGGTGGTCCTTCCCACTTGATTTGCTGACCTACATGCCAGTAATCTCTAGACACTCCCACAGATACGCCCAGCAGTGTGCTTTGCTAATTTTCTGGTCCCTGAATTCAGCCAGTCTGACAATCTCCATAAACTGTCACAGCAAATTTAAGTTAGTTCTTGGAATGTATTTATTGTGTATAGAATGACAGCAGCTTGAATAACAGATACGCATCATCTAAATTCAACCTGAGGGAGAACTGATACTATGGTTATAGTGTCTCTGATAGATACCATGCTATAATTTGTCCTAGGTTCAGGCTCTTGGTGTTTATATTTTCAAATTTTTAACTATGTATGCTAAACAGTAACATTATTGTTATCACATGAATTGAGAATCTCTTTTTAGTAAGCTTATTACAAATTAACTAATTTACGAATACAAAATATGACTATTGTTTGGATATGTTTGAAATTATTGACAGTAAGTCCTTAAACTCTTTTTAAACTATTTCTTCTAGGTGATTTGTTTTTTAAATTTTACAAATTTTGTTTATGTCTTTTAAATTTTAGTTTATAATCATCTCACAATCCTATTGCTAATGTCAAGCACAATATTGGCCTTGTGTAACATGAGGCACTGCAGAAATTTTTTTTGGAAAATGAGTAAATACCCACTGGGCTAATCATTATTAAAATAACAGAAGGTAACACATGTTGATGAGAATATAGACTAGTTAGAACTCTCATCCATTGCTGGTGGAAATGTACACTACTGTAGTCATAATGGAAAACAGTATGGAAGATTTAACAATTAAACCAAGAATTATACGTGATCTTACAATTTCACTTCTGGATATATACACATAAGAAACTGAAGCAGGAACCCAAACATGTCATAGCCACCCACATTATTCACAGCACCCAAAAGGAGAAACCTATTTGATGTGGTGATGCATGCCAGTAAATACAGTACTTTGGGAGGCTGAGTCAGGAGGATCTTAAATTTGAGCATAGCTTGGGCAACTTAAGAACCTAGCAAGACCTTGTCTCTAGTGCCAAAATAAAAGGTAATCAAAATGTAGCTCAGTGTGAAGGCCTTGAGTTTAATCCTCAGTACTAAAAAATAAAAAGTAGAAGTAACTCAAGTATCCAAACAAAAATGTGGTACATATATATAGCAGAACATTATTCAGTCTTACAATAGAAGAAAATTCTGGTTTATAGTTCTACATGGGTAAATCTTGAAGAGAGTATGGTTAAATATAGTTAAGTTACAAATAATATGTGGTTCTGTTTGTATGAGGTACTTTGAGTAGTGAAAGTCACAGAGTAGCTGGTGGTCACCAGGGGCCGAAGGAGGGAGTAATGGTGAGTGTCATTTAATGGGTAGAGAGTTTCAATGCAAGATGAAGAGAGTTCTGGGGAGGGACGGTTGTACGGCCCTGTACGTCTGCTTACTGTCACTGAACTATATACACTTAATAATGTTTAACCTGCTACAATTTGTGTTATGTGCATTTTTCAACAATGAAAAATACAATTTTAAAAAGAATGAATAATAGAGCCGGGTGTGGTAGCTCACACCTCTAATCCCAGCACTCGGGAGGCTGAGGCAGGAGGATCGTTGCGAGTTCGAGACCAGCCTGGGCTACAAAGTGAGCTCAAGGCCAGCCTGAACTGCATAGCAAGACCCTGTCTCAAAAAAAAAAAAAAAAAAAAAAAAAAAGAATAAATAAACAGGAAGATTTTCAAGTTACCCTAGTCTTTGTAAATTATGTACCTAATGCCTACAAATACATTGAAATGTTTAAAGAAGTGTGCGTACACATGAAAAGGGGCAAAAAGGGCATGTCCTGAGCAGTACTACTTCTGGAAAGGAAGAAGCATTGTGAACGTATTACCTACATATAGCCTCTATCTGGGTGGTGCTGAAATTTTACAAGGAGAAGATATTCAAGGATTACTTACATATTTTTTAAAACAAAGCAAAAATGTAGTTAAAAATTGAAAAGCCTAAAAGGTGTTTACTTTTGTATTTAAGGTTGAAAAACTTAAAGCAGAATTGTGCCAGTCTCCAAAGAATAAGCAACTTGGAAACCACTCCCCTGAAAAAACCGTGGGTGCTGAACAGAGAGTACAGGTATTTTGAAGTTCTGCATTTTCTGAGTTGTAATTTCTAAACGAGTTTCATTTCTACAGAGTAAATTAGAGCAATTGGTGCTAAACACTTACTGGGATTTTCAGCCAAATAGAGTGGAAAAGGAAATTGGAACATAGGCGTCATTTCTTCCCCACAGAGAACAATTAATTTTTAAAATGTTGTAGATTGTTCTTTAGAAGACAAAAACCTATCATATAATGATACAACAAAGAGGAGCATTTTAAATCACCAAGGAAAGCTGTTTATAGAATCCACCAATGGTAGGGTGTTGGGTGGGTTGTTGGAACCATATTGAACCCGAGTCAGTGTTGTAGACAGTTAATAGGGTATAGGCTCCTGTGGGTACGTCATCTATTTCTTCATGACCAGAGTTTGAAGAGCTAAGCAAAGCAGTTGTACTTAAGACAGATTGAAGTGCCAATGTGCACCTAATAGATACATGGTAGTAATTCATCGTGGTTTTAATTGCCTTTTATGAGGGTGTCTAATGACAATGGGTATATTTTATGTGCTCATCATTGACCATTTGTAGGTGTCCTTTTGTGAGACATTTGCTCAAACCTTGTACTCATTCTTCAGGGTTTTATTTGTGGTTTTTACATTGATTTGCAGCCATTCTTTATTTTGTCTCAGCCTCCACAATGCATTTTCATTTTCTTAACAGAGTTTATTAAGAGTAAAAGTTTAAAAAATTTAATTAATTGGTGTTTTTAAAATAATTTTATGATAGGACACAAAATGGCCATCTGTATAATCTTTGTCTACCTTAAGTGCATAAAATATATTTCTTATGCTTTCTTCTAAAGATTTTATAGTTGTAGTTTATGTATTTAGATATGACTTATTGCAAGTAAGAGTTGTATATGCTATGAGATAAAAATTAAATCTCATTTATTTCCAAATGTATATCCAGCTGTTGCTGAACCACTGTTGAAAAGACAGTTATTTCCTTATTTAGTTACATTGGCACCTTTACACTAAATCTACTTCTAGACTATTCTGTTCCATTAATGTATACGTTTATTCTTAGGATACTCATATGCTATATAGCTTTTATTATAAGTCTTGAAATTAAAAGGCATAACAGCCCCAATTTTGGGGGAGTTTTCCTTTCCAAAGTTGTCTTGTATTCCATATATATATTAGAGTCAGCTTGTCACCTTTTACATGAACACCTACTAGGATTTTTATTGTATAGTAATCTTCAGGCCAATTTAAGAGTGAATTTACATTCAAATATTGGACTCAAAGTCCGCAAGTCTATAAATGTGGTATATCTTTTGATTCATTTCACTCTTCTTTAGTTTACCTCACCAGCGTTTTGTGATTTGTAGTACACAGATCTTATCCATGTTTAATTAAATTTGTTCCTTTTAAAAACTAAAATATACTGGGCTGGAGCTAGTTCAGTAATGGAACACTTGCCTAGGAGGTGCAAAACCCTGGGCTTGATCCCCAGTACTGCCAAAAAAAAAATTGAAATTAATGCACCATAAAATTTACATAACCTTTTAGGTATACAATTCAGTGGGTTTTTAGTATATTTACAACATTATGAAACTATTATTCGTAACTAATTCCGGAACATTTTCACTACTCCAAGAAGAACACCCACTAGGTTAGTCATTTCTTATGTCCTCTCCCTCCAGCCCCTGGCAACCACTGAGTTGTTTCCAGCCTCTATGAATTTGCTTATCTGGTACATTTTTATATAAATGGTAATCATTTTAAAATGCAACCTTTTGGGGGCTGAGGTTAGCTCAGGGGTGTATCATTGCCTAGCATGTATAAGGTCCTAGGTTTGATTCCCAGCACTGGAGAAAAATGCAGGCTTCTGTGTGCAGCTTCTTTCACTTGGTAGGTTTTCAAGGTTCATCAACACTACGGCATGAACCAGCACTTTAACCCTCTGATAGCTGAATGCTATTTCACTGTACAGATATATACTACATTTTGTTTATCTGTTTATCAGCTGAATGTTTGATGGTTTCCATTTGTGGCTATTGTGAATAATGCTGCTTGAATATTCATTTCCAAATTTTGGGGGACATATATTTTCATTTCTCTGGGAACATATTTAGAAAAGAAATCACTGAGTTATGTATCAACTCAGCATTTAACATTTGAGAAATTGTCATGTTTTCAGATGCAAATGTACCATTTTATATTCCCATTAGCAGTATATGAGGGTTTTAGTTTCTCCACATCTTCTCTGTTATTATTGATAAATATATTTTTGTGATATTGGGGATCAAGCTCCCAGGAACATTCTACCACTGAAGCTGCATCCCTAATCCTACACACACACACACACACACACACACACACACACAGAGCATATACGTATATATGTTAAATTTTGAGACAATATCTCACTAAGATGCCCAGGTGAACTCGAACCTGAGATCCTCTTGCCTCATATTCCCGAGTGCTCAGTTTACAAGCATGTGACACTGCACTCAGTCTACTATCCATATTTTTATTTTAACTATCATGGTGGGTATGAAGTAGTATTTCTGCATGATTTTTATTTTCATGCTTATTGGCTACCTGTATTTCTTCTTTAGAAAATGTCCTTCAAATCATTTGTCTATTTTAGGTGAAGGTATTTGCCTTTTTGCTGTTGAGTTTCACAAAGCCTTTATATCTTCTACATATTGGTTTCCTTTATGAACTGAATTGTGTCTCTCCCAAAATACGTTGAAGTCTTAACTCCTAGAACCTGTGAATGTAACCCTCTTTACAATAGGGCAGTTGTAATCCAGTTAAAATGAAGTCATTAATATGGACCCTAACCCAGTATGAGTGGCACAATTATAACAAGAAGAAATTCCAGGTAGAGATAGACACATGTGGGGGTGAACACGGCGCCATAAGCTGACAAGGCAGAGATTGGAGTAGCGTTGCTATCAGCCTGGGAAATCACTGACAGCAACTACCAGAAGCTAGAGGAGGCAAGTTGGGATTCTGCTAGAGTCTCTCTTTGCCCTAGCTCTGTTAATACTTTGATTTTAGATTTCTAACCTTCAGAACTGTGAAAGAATAAATTTCTGTTGTTTTAACCCACCCAGATTGCAGATTTTGCTAAATAACCCTAGGAAACAAATATAGATTTTGGCACCTAAAAGTAAATATCTAAAAATATGGAACTGGCTTTTGAATTGCCTAATGCTGTACTTGCTGGAAGAGTTTTGAAGTGCTTGATACAAAATGCTTATATTGTCGTGAAGACATTGGTAGAAGAAATATGGAATTTTGGAGGGCCAAGAGTAGAACAATACGGTTCAGATAAGGGGGTCTGTGTTGTGCTTGGTAATGCTTATTAAGGCCTGCTTATTTCTGATAACTGTCTTTCTTTTTGCTCCCCAGACTCAATTTTCATAGCCTCATCTTCAAGTTTACTAAGTCTTTCTTCGGCCTGCTCAAATTGCCTTTGAATTCCTAAAGTGAATTTCAGTTGTTAGAGTTTCCTGCTGTAGAATTTTTGTTTCTTTTCTATCTCTTTATTGATATTTCTGTTGTGTTCACACATAATTTTCTTGACTGTCTTTGCATCTCCTTTTGCTCATTAAGCATCTTTTAAAAACAGTCATTTTAAAGTCTTTATGTAGCAGACTTGCTTCTGATCTTTTTCAGTGTCAGTTTCTGTTTCTTTTTCTTCTGGATGAGGCACACTTTCATGCTTCTTTTTATGCCTTATGACCTTTGGGTTGTTATCGTTGAAAGTTGGACATTTGAATCATAATATAGTGACTCAGGAAATCAGATGCTCTGCCTTCTCTAGGCTTTGCTGCTGCTGCTGCTGCTTTCCCTGCTTAGTAGTTTATCATTGTAGTAAGATTAACCTGCAGTATAAACTTAAGATCTCCACAGTTTTTTTCTAAGCAAGTGCCTTTTCCTTGGCATATGTAGAGATTTTCTAGTTTTCTCTGTAAATACAGTTGCATTTCGAATGTGCCAGTCTTCAGCATCTAGTTTCCAAAAAGGGAAAAATATAGAAATGAATGAGAAAAAGAGCACTGATCTTTTAAATTCCCTGAACACCTGGGGAGGAAGGAACTTGCAGCGATGGGTAGAGGTGTAGAAACAATGTCTGCCCATCTCTGAGTCTGTACGTACATGAGCAGAAGCAGCATCCAACCATCAGTGCGCACAGATCCCCAATATCAGAAGGACCAGGGTCTTTGCTGCTCACCCTGAACTGCTCAGGAACTGCTTCCTACTGCCTGCTACAGGACTGGGGGGTAGGGTATAGTTGCTTCACCAAGAGTTAACTGAAATTTTAGCAATTTAACATCAAAACCCTTTTTCTAGAAGTTACAACCATTCAGCAGATGTAGCTGTTTCAGATTCCACCAGTGGAATTGTTGTGTAGGTGAGGAAACAGATTTCTTGTATTTCTGTTATCTTCCCCTTGCCTTAATTTTTGAAGAATATTTTCACTTGACATAAAGTTTTAGAGAAACATTTTTTTTTTATTTTGACGGTAGTAAAATACAACAGAACAAGACAGAACAAAGCCAACTGAGACAGTGTGGTGAAATTGAACTTCACAGCAGATTACCAGGATAACAGCAATACGTATCATAGTATATGTCATTATCGTCACAATAGTTGTTCTTTCAATCATGTATAGCAAAATAAAATGAAGTACAGAATGTTATAGAAATTATAAAAATAGAATTTGAATAGAACAGTACCATTAATCAGAATAAAGTAAAACAGTAGTAGAAATATTTGCCTTCAAAAAGATGGTAGAAGGAAATCCCCCTTATTTGCTATATTCCATATGGTCAACCTCCCAAGAGATGCTCAGATCTCTGATTCCCACTTGCTAAAGGGGGGCAGGGGAAGTGGGATGTTTGACTCTAAGCCCGTGCACTAGTAGGCTCACTATTGCTTAACAGGGAGGCAGGCTGATTGTTTGGTTTCCCAGCGTCCTAAGTTCCAACGTGGTGCAGATCTCAGAAGACACTGGT